CAGCTGGGAAGGTCCTGCTGGCACTTGGCTGGTGTCTCTCAGACAGCTAGAGTAAAGAGAACCAAACATCAGTGCCTGATCTTGGCACCACATCACCCAAAACCCCACCAGTCTGCTACTCACCGTGCTCCTAGGAATGCCCAGCACCTCCTAACCCTGACCCTCTGCCATCTGGCATGATGCACAATTTTCAGCATGCAGCCAGCCACTCTGGGCCACAGGCCCCTGAACACCAGTGCTGGCCCTTTTCCCTGGCAAACAAAAGTCCAGGTTCCTGGACTTTTAGTCCAGGTTCCTAATGGCTTTTTACAGGAGGCACTTGCCACTATCAAAGTACCTTGATTTGGCACTGGTGCCAGCTTGGGTCTGGGAGGCATCCTATGTATTGCGGAACTTCAGGAGCCAGCTGGCCACTCCAGGCCTGTTACAATCCGTCCTAGTGAATGGGTGATGTGATGGTTTGTAGGGGTGATCTCAGGGTGCAAAGAACCAAAAAGGCACAGGGGATTTGCAGTAATAATCAAAACAAATGCACCTTCATTGAATGACCACAGCAAAATGCGATAGAGAGATTAAGAGAGAGAAAAAGACAGAGAAAGAGAGAAGAAAAGGGGGTGGGGAGGGCAGGTATAGCTACCAAATGTAGAGACGAAGTCCTTTGGTCAAGTCCAGTCGAGGATCCGCCTGTTACATTGGGGAGATCTCAAAATCTCCAGCTAACTCAGAGATTTTTATTATGATAATTCTATTGAAAATTGTGAGGGGGGGGTGGAGGAGACAGATACAATAAGGAATAGATGTAACAGTTAGTCCATGTTCTCAGCAGTAAATGAGAGCCATTGTTTTCTTGGTCCAGTGGTCACAAGCTGCAGGCAAACATCTTGGTTTGGTCAGCTTGCCTCCCACACACACCTCCTCTGGGTTGGGGATTTCAGTCCCAGTCCTTGTAAGGAGCAGAAAGGAGCCTTCTCACATAGGGGTTTCATGTCTCAGTCCTTGATGGAGAGGCTTCTTACATCTCAGTCTGTCTGTCACAGTGGTTGTAAAACAGGTGAAGGTGTTCTGTGGGAGACCCTCTGAAACTCAGGAGAAGTCCAGCCAGGCCGAGAGGTGGAACAGCTTCCAAGGCTATTGTTGCAAAAAGAGCACAGTGCCCCTTCTTCTCATTGGGCTTAGTGTAGCATACAACAAGCAACACCTGTGAAAACAATAATTTAACATTATGCTTTCAGATCTCAGGGCCTTTGGCATGTGACTTTCTCCTTCAGAGCCAGAGATTTTAGATGGGCGGGGGTCTTCTCTTCAGTGGTCCCCCAATGACAATTGTGAGGCAGATGAGGGAAAATTCGGACAGACTCTCATAGGGCCACAGGACCCTGAACATCAGGGCTGGCCCTTTTCCCTGGCAAACAAAACTCACCAGTCCCGGTTCCTGACGGCAGATTGCAGGACTGTCAAACCAGCCCGAGTTGCTACTGGCGCCAGCTTGGGTCTGGGAGGCATCCTGCACAATGCGGAATTTCAGGAGCCAGCCCAGGGGACAATGGCCACACCCTGCAAGCTCCACCCACCTAGGTGACCATGGCCACACCCTGCCAAACTCTGCCCATCTAGGTGACAATGGCCATACCATGATAAGTCCCGTCCCCAAGTTGGCAATGTGGACTCATGCAGGTGATAAAGGGCCCCTCCCCTCTAAGTCCCGCCCACTCAGGTGACAATGCCGACTCCTGCAGGTGACAAAGGGCCCCTCTCCTTTAAGCCCTGCCCACCCTATCTGACAGGGACCCCGCCCTTTTAAGGCCCGCTCATACCCTCAGGTGCCACTCAGGGCGCCGCCATCTTTGAACCGGGC